AGTATAGTATAGTATAGTATAGTATAGTATAGTATAGTACAGTACAGTATAGTGTAGCATAGTATAAGAACATATGCTTCCATTTTTTCCCAGCCAGGCAGATTATTTTTATACCACTAATGATATCACCTGATATTTCATCATTGTTTTCAGCTGATACTAACTAATGTATTTAAAAGGTTCGAATATTTGAATTGAAGCACTCTCTTATCTGGAATGATCAATCTGAAATCTTTCCATAATAAGCAAATTTAGAAATAAGCCGGAATTCAATGTTAAAATTTTCACTCGCAATATGAACAAGTATTAGTTAGGAGATAATATCCATCAATCAACGGATAGGTATCCATCAATTAGCATGCAGTCACCGAACAAATGATCTCATTTGAAATAATATAAAATGTTCTCGGAATAAAATAAGTTATTTGCGAAGTCAGTTATTTAAGTAACAATTTCACTTCACCTTTCATTAATTCATTGCTGACTGATATAAGACAGCATATGAGCTATTTAGTGCTTGCTTGATTGACTCTCTGATGAGAATTCATCGGGTAAGACGGTTTCATTCGAGAATGCTGGAATAAAGGTGATCGGCGGAGAACAGAGATCGTATTCAAAAAGTCGTTCTCGACAAATATTCTGGGATGTACTTTTTTTCATTCATTTTATTTTTTTTAGCTCAACTGCAATAGACCAGCAATGAATTCAAAAGCAAAACAGTATTATATTTTACAGAGATTTATAGATATCAAAATTCATGCATACAGGAAATTGGAAATGATTTTATAATGCATCATATTCTTGAATGCTGTCGAAATCGTTTGCTTCAAATATTCTCGATTAAATGGTAAAATATGGTTTCTTTTGTTCTTTCGATTTACTATCAAGCATCCAAATTATCATCTCTCTTCTTTTGTTTTTGTCAACTAAACATATACTCTTTAAATTAATATTCATTCGATAGCACATCGGTACTACTAAATATCCAAGATATTATCACTTTTAATTGCTAACAAAAATGAATAATTTAAATTAATTTTACTGCAGTAATATGAGGCTAAAATGACTGGGAGGAAAAATTTTTGATTGGATGTTTTACAAATGTTTATCAATCATTTCTAGCATGAAATTTCATCCCAACTCATCTTTTGTTTTCATTTCTATCTAATATACTATGAATTGTAAATTAATCAAAATATGAGTAATTTTTTCATCTCAAACAACGACCTAGAACAATTACAGTGAATAAAGGAAATGAATTAATTGAAAAATTATAAATGAAATGGTTTTTAGCTAATATTATGTGCAATAGCTTTACTTCAAACATCCATTTAACAATTATTGTAACACTTTTTCGTTATTTCTGTGTTGAACCCTTGATTCCAAATTCTCCCAAAAAAAAGCAAATTTTGAACTTCTAATTAACAATAATCATAGCTTTCTTTCTTATTTATAAATTATTGATATATTTCATATTTCTGCAACACATCAATGAGGGATTTTATTTCAATTAAGCTTTTACAAACACTTTTTTATGCCAATGATAACTAATAAAAAGTTCTTTGATAACTATTAAATAGACCACTAATGCCCCTTCGTCTATTTTTTCTACATAATCCAGATTCTTTTAAACAAATGTCAGCATTACAATCATTATCGTCTTTACATGGTTCGCCAAGTTCATATATCAATTCATTTGGTATATTTCCACTGAAATTTTAATTTACGAATGAAATTACATAAAGCATGTATAGTTTACTCAATAGGGCAAGAATGATGAAGAATTTCTTGAGATGTATTATTTGTTGAGGCATAATTCCAAGTTAAAAAATAGCAAGCTTAATGACAAATCATAATTATTAACATAAATATTTAGGAAGATTGGCTTTGACAATAATAAAAACGCTTACCGTGGCCAATAGTGACAAACAAACTGCATAAAGTCAAGTTTGAGTTTATATTGAGCCATACCGCAGCCAATTTCATGCGTTTCACCCCAAATCATCTAAAAAATAAGCGCTTGTAAATAAAGTAAAAATTTACAGAAGATTCATTTCAGAGTTTGAAGATTATCTGATGTAAATTACTCGAAAAATGAGACCTATTTATTTAATTTTATCTTTCATGCGAGGGAATAAATTTCTAGAATTATTTCAAGCCAAACAGACATCATAGCTTAAGAAGCAAGCAAATGACTTTTCGCAAGTTGCCTGATGGAAACAAAGAAAAGAAGCCTAATTAACGTTTGCACTCACAGACATTATACATAACCGAATATCAGATAGGGATAATGTAAATTCTTTCCGGAATTTAGTTCATTTTTCTTTAAGCTTATTTTTTACAAAATTATAATTTTTCGCTTAGGAAAAATTAGAGAAGAATGATTTTTGCAATAAACACGTTGAAAAATAGAAATAACATGTAACTCAATGCTTTCTTACCTGTGTGAAATGAGAAGCAGAATTATTGAGAGGATTAAATCTATTACTTGAATTATCCTGGTGCAATTCCCGATGTTCTGCTTCCCAAGATTCGCATGCAGCCCTACTAATAATACTTGTCATATCTGAAAATGATATTTCTTTATCCACATTCTCATAATTACTGTTGTATTATTTGATTCTCAATATTTCACTTACATGCTGATGATGTGATTCTTTTAGAAAAGTTTGTAAACTTCAAGTAGCATAAATATACGTAAATTTACCTTCAATTGTAACGCCTTCTATCATTGAATGAAAATGGACATTTTCACCGATTTTTTCAATAATATCTTTTGGTGAGAACTCAATGAGTTCTGCCGTTTTTTGCGCGGAATCTTCGAGCTCATAATTCCACGTCTGAACAATTGATAAGTTAATAAATTAATAAGAAAAACACCAATGCTAATTTTAAATAGCTCGGTAACTATTATAACATGAACGAGAAAGTAAAAAGAATCATTGTTTGAACAATTTTTTAATAGATTTTTACCATTTCGAGCATATTCCTTCCATGTGGCATAAATATGCCATCTTTGTTTTTAAGCTCACCACGAATCGCTCTCGAGCGCGCATCATTATGGCAGCGAAGGATAATTTCACGTTGCTCTTCCGTCATTCGACTTTTCACAACTGCAATATTTCAACTAAATTATCATTAACTCAGATGTCAAAAGTTTCTTAATTGCCATCAAATACTACATTTTCAAGATCATTTGCAATTTATAGCCTCGGGAATTATGGCATGCAATAAAATCTTCATTAAACATACCAACGATAATTGCGGCAAATACAATGAAAAGTAACATTCTGTTGGATTTTACGGTAGAATTTATGCTGCTTCCTTTCGAAATATATTT